CATCTTCGAGTCACCTACCGGTGTGGTGCTGGATCGTCCAATCTCTCACGAGATCATTCTTGAGGCCGGTGTCGTGCCGCCGAAAGATATTTACCGCATGAGTGAGGAGGAGTTTACGGTCCTTCGCATGCAACTCGGTGACTTGTTGGAGAAGGGCTGGATCCGCCTTAGTAACTCCCCATACGGAGCACCAGTTCTCTTCGTACGGAAGAAGAACAAGGATCTACGATTGTGCATCGACTACCGCAAGCTCAACACACAACCCGTCAAGAATGCGGGACCTCTTTCTCGTATTGATGATCTCCTTGAGTGATTGGGTGGCGCGAAGTACTTTTATAAGTTGGATCTGAAATCGGGATACCATTTGATTTCAATCTAGTCGAACGATCGATATAAATCCGCGTTCAAAACACTCTATGGACATTTTGAGTGGGTGGTCATGCCTTTTGGCCTCACCAACGCCAGACGACCTTTCAAGCAGAAATGACCAACGAGTTCCATGCGATGTTGGACCGGTTCGTGCTAGTCTACTTAAACGACATTCTCGTCTATAGCCGAACATTGGAGGATCATCTTGAGCACCTTCGACGAGTGTTGGAGACGCTCCGCCGTGCCAAGTACAAAACCAACCACGACAAGTGCGAGTTTGTCCGGCAAGAGCTAGAATACTTGGGCCATTTTGTCACACCGAGGGCATCAGTCCGTTGTCGGACTAGATTCAAGCCATCCAAGTGTGGTCAGAGCCATGAAACGTCACAGATGTCCGTTCGTTCCTTGGCCTTGCCGGCTACTACCAGCGTTTTATCAAGGGATACCTGAAGATCGCGGCCCACTTCACCAAGCGTCAATGCGAGGATCGGCCGTTTGACTTCGGAGAGAATGTGCGGGAATAATTTTTGGCTCTCAAAGCCGCGCTATTATATACGGAGGTTTTGCGCATATACGACCCGCTATTGCCAACACGCGTCACTACGAATGCGTCCGGCTATGGCATGGACTGACACCTGGTCGAGTACTTCAGCAAGAAAGTGCCCTTTGTACACTCCATTGATGATGAACGCAAGAAGGAGCTCCTAGCCTTCGTCCACGCGCTCAAGCGGTGGTGGCACTTCCTCCTTGGTCGAAGTCAATTCCAATGGGTAACGGACAACAATCTGTTGGTCTTCTACAAGATCCAAGACACCGTCAATAGCACCATCGCCCGTTGGATGGCTTTCATCGACCAATTCAACTTCTTTCCCGATCACATTTCGGGGAAGTTTGACCGTTTTGTGGATGTTCTTTCACGGCGCCGGGATCATTGTACTGTAGGCTATTCGACCTTCGAGATCAACGATGACCTGCGGGACAGCTTCATCTGTGGCTACCAAACCGACCCCGAGTTTCGCGACAAGTACGCGAATTGCTCCTCTCCTAATCCGGCGCCTTCTCACTAGCGGATCCAAGGGGGGTACTTGCTTGTCTACACGCGGGGGAATGACCTTCTTTGTGTACCGAGTGACTCTCACTTGCGTACATGGCTTCTTGGCGAGTTTCACGATGCTCCCGCCACTGGGCACTTTGGAGTCAATCGAACAATTGGCCGACTTCGCGAGCGCTTTTGGTGGCCTGACCTTCTTGGCGACATCACACGCTATTGCGAGTCATGCGAGGTTTGCCGACGTTGCAAATCCCGCAACCATCGTCCATACAGTGAGTTGCGACTATTACCGGTCCCCTTGCGTCGGAGGGAAGCGATTGCCATGGACATTACCAGGCCGTTCCCTAAGCACAAGACCAATGTGGATGGGATTCTCACGGTGGTCAACCGACTCACAAAGTTCGGCATGTTTTTGCCTTGCCGCTATCATGCCAAGGCACCGGAGTTGGCCGAGGTTCTTTACGCTGGTTGGATTCGAACCAAGGGTTACCCTAAGGAAATCGTTTGCGACCGCGATACTCGGTTCATGTCCGATTTTTGGTTGACGCTCATCAAACGATGGGGCTTATCTCTTAAGCTGAGTTCGGCTCGCCACCCCTAAACGATGGCCAAACGGAGAGGGCGCATTAGATGGCCAAACGTAGAGGGTGCATCAGACCGCACAGGTCCTCCTTCGCACTCTCATCTGTCCCGACCAAAAGGATTAGGTCGAGTGTCTGCTGGATGTCGAGTTGCCATACAACTCATCCATCCACCCGGCTATCGGGATGTCGCCCTTCGAGTTCGATCACGGCTCGCCGGTCACTTCCCCGTTGGACACAATCATTCCATGAGCAGCCGAGAGCGACGACCATCTTCTTTTCTTGCGTCGCATGCAAAAGCTACTTGTCAAGGCACGCGACCAGATGGCTAAGACGCAGCAATGCATGAGCCAACAGGCGTCTTCCTTGCCTATTCCGCGCCGGCGATCTCGTTTGGATTTCCACCGCGGAGTTCAGCCTCGAACAAGATATCTCTCGCAAGCTCCTCCCGAAATGGATGGGGCCCTGCGATCGCACCCGCTGGGGATGCACCCGAAGGACCTTCCTTCACCATTCAGGTGCCCGCCCACTTGTCCGTCTACCCGGTCTTTCATTGCTCCAAGTTGGCTCTTTACACGCCAGTGGAACATGACGATTTTCCGGGGCGACAATCGTAAGACCCACCCTCTATGGACGGTTTTCAAGAGGTCGGCGACATCATCTCCCAGCGACGCTACGACAACAGGCTGACCGAATACTTGGTACACTTTGCGTACTGCACCCACAAAGCTGACCGTTGGTTGACCCGTGTGGAACTCCAAGCAACAGCTCTAGATGTTCTCGCACGCTACGAACACAAGATGCAAGGCAAGCCGGTAGCTTCACTTCCACGTCGCACCCTCGTCCAGGTTCCACCTTCAGATCGTCAGCTTCGCCCTCGACCCGGCTTGATTTCATAAGGAGGGGGGGGTGTTACATGCTGCGCCTGCATTGGCCCTGCAACATACTGCGCCTGGAACGAGGGCCATTTTCAGGTCCTGTGTTGTTTTCAGCCTAAAAGCCTGAAAACAAGGGCCTACAGGCCCTGTGTCGTTTTCAACCTAAAAGCCTGAAAACAAGGGCCTACAGGCCCTGTGTCGTTTCAGCCTAAAACAGGGCCCTCCAGGCCCTTAGTCTTTTCAGCTGGAAACGGAGGGCCATTTTCAGGCCCTCATATGATCAACCTGCCCTGAAACTCAGGCACCAGACCAGGGTTTTAGCGCAGGCCATTTTGGGCCTGTTTTTCAAGACAGACTTTGTTTGAGCTTCAACGCCAGGGTCTGGCACGTTTTGGCATTGGCAACTTGGCAAGAGCAGCCTCCTGGACGGGCCAGTACTATATAAGACTGGCCCGCCCAACAGGCTGTAGGTAGTTCATAGGGACTTCCCAGGCACTTCACGTGCAGTTCAGGAGGCAGGAGGTAGTCTTCAGGATTCGGCAGCAGCACTCTGGAGGAGCGCTGCAGTAGTAGTAGTAGCGTTAGCAGTAGTCTTCAGCGCTGGGCGCTATTAGGAGCTAGAGTAGCACTGGAGAGAGATAGAGATTGGGCAGAGGCCAGGGAGACTTACCTGCGGCGCCATAGCTCCAGCTCGTCGTCGAGGTACCTGCAGCACAGCGCCATCTTCACAGGTTAGTACCTGGCACATGAGAGAGAGAGCTCTTCTTCTTCCTCTTCTCAGTCCATCATCTCCCTCTCACCCTCTCGCTACCTGACTTCACTGCATCAGCAGACTAGGAGAGAGCGGGCTTGGTGACATTTGGATCCAGACTCGACATTGGGCTTCAGACATTTGACGAGGGATTATCTGGGACTTGTACCAAGGACTTGGTGTTGACGACATTCCCATCTTCCCCCTCTTCTTCGTCTGATCCCCTTCTCTTCGTCTGTGTATGGTCTGGACCTGGCGCATTCTTCCTGTGTGTAGCACCAGGCCCCTTCACACCTTGTGATGAGGATGATGTATGTTTGGTCTGTATTGCGACATTGATTGGGCTAGTCATTGGTATTCTAGCATTCTGCTGCGCTGTCTTGCACTACGTGAGGGAAGGTCTAAGTCTTTCCCTGAGCTATTATGTGCCATTTTTGTATGTATCAGGATGTACACTGCTTGTTGAGATTCCACTAGCACTGCATTGTCCATTCAGTCCTTTTCATCACATTGCGGATCCTTGGCTATACATACGTTGCCCAACTGGGCATGTAACAGTTGGTATCGGTGAATCAGGACAACCTGATCTGACAGGTGTACTTTTGATTGATTGATTAGAGCATACAAATTAGCCCCCAAAATCGCGATTTTGACCTAACTGCCAAAAATCGAAATTTTTTTGTCTAGTACAAGCGAACCTGTAAACGTGGCTTGGAACCATCTTCACGCGTCCCTGAAGGATTGCAAATATACCTTAGAAACTCTCCAGGATTGCAAGCTTACTTGCATCCTTGTCTAGTACATAACGTCCGAGTTACTTCGGATGATTGCCCTTATATTCCTGGGCATGGTCAATCACATTTACATCCCTGGAAACCTTGTAAATCGCTTGCTGATTTATGAATTTGAAGTCTGTCCCTGCCAATGGTTAATTTCAGAAGTGCCGCTCTGACATTGTGAATTTACAATTCAATCTGTGTCTTTTATAAGTCCGAAAAGAGCGTCTTGCAGTCTCCTTTCTGGATATGCTAAGACAGACTGCTCGAGCTTCTCATTCCCATTGAATTGGTAAGGATCCCTGAAGAGCACGGGGTGGGTGACTGACGCGGTTGCGCAGGGCCTTAGCAGTCCATCAAGCGTCACCCTTCCAGCGTCCCTCACAACGGGGAAACAGTCAGTCTGGCTGCACTTGACAAACCGTGCCACTTGAACTCCCGTGACAACCAACTCGAGCAGCCCGATGGCCTGTTTGATGGTGATAACAGCATTCACTGTCCTTCTGCCAAGTTGAATGGGGCTAATATGCCATAGCCACGGCCATGATCATCATAGTATTGAGCGTTGCGGCCATATCCGGAGCCTCAGTTCGCTTGTAAAGGACAGTCATGCCCACTTGGGCTTGGCTGCTCCGCCGGGAGGCCGTCTTCGTGTGTGTGAGCTTGTTTATGCTCTCTGTCTTGGCACTGCATAAGTTCAGCGCATTAGATCTGGAGTTGTCCTGGTGGCGTAGTATGTCGACGTCAGCCGTGTTGTCCTTGCAGCTGCCTACCTCCGTCCCTTGCGACGTTGATTGGCTAGCGTTCCGTATGCACTACCCGAATCCCGATCCCAACTACACGTGGAATCAGATGACTGGACTTCCTTCTGCATGTTCGGCGGTGATGCCTGCACACCATGACGAGGAGGATCGTGCGTCGGGTTCCCTTCTCTTCCTTGACAAATTCTTCCGCAAAACGGCCCGGCAGTCGGCAGAAGGTCGCCATACTGACATGGAGAGTGGCGGTCGTGATAGCAAACACGTGGAGAGCGGCTCCAGCCAGCTGCCTCAGCAGCAACAGCTGAAGCCCGGGAGAGAATGGGAGCGGGAGGTAGCTCAGAATGTGATTTCCCCTCCCATTGACAGTTTCTTGATGACGAAGAAGTTTCTCTTGAAAGTGGCCGGGAAGGAGAACATCATCGTTCTCACCATCGGGAACTCTGCTTGGAAGGATTTCATCTTCAATTGGGTTATCTCTGCGAACAGGGTGGGTATGTATAGCTACGTGGTCGTGGCGATGGACGAGCCTCTGCTGAGGACACTTCATGGACGAGGGATCCCAGTTGCCACGTCGAGACTGGGGTTTGCCGGCCCCGATGTGGCTGTATGGGAGTCTCAACAATTCAGGGACATGCAGAAGATCAAGCCAGCATCAATCATCGACGTGTTGGAGGCTGGATACGATGTACTGGCGGCCGATCCGGATCAGGTATGGTTCAGAAACCCCCTCCCATACTTCCTCTCCCATCCGGAGCCCGACATTCTGTGCTCCACCGACTGCCCCATTGCGTTGGGTGATGACAGTTTCTTGGGCTCCGGCGGAGCACAGGAGGTAGGTAGGCTGGATGCCGTTGATCCTGGCCCTTGGCCGCCGTGCGATGCGAAGTTATACCACTTTAATGTGGGTCTCATGTTCGTTCGCCGACGGGACCCATCACTCCAGTTGCTCCGTGATTGGGCGTCCAGACTGTCTACAGGCGATAAGCAACACTGGGATCAGCAGGTGTTCAACGACATGTTGAAAGTCACTCTCCCATCTGCTACCTCGAAACTAGTTCTTCCTTCAGGCGTCTACTATCGACTTTACGACGGCTTACTATTGATCGGTGCGCTGCCTCAAGGCCTCTTCGCTAACGGTTTATCCTTCTTCTACAGCGGGCTGCCTGTCCCCTCGCCCATTGCAGCTGCTGATTCCAGCTTCGCAGAACTGGCTTCAGTTGGGAGAGCTCCTCCTCCTGCTCCTCCGCTTGCCCCTGGAGGACTAACCTCAGGGCTGGAACCAAGACCGAATCCTGGATTAACATCCAGTCAGGATTCTCTTACAGTCTCTGCAAATGACGGAACGGCAGCTGATGCAGCTGTTGGTCCCGACAACAACAAAGACGAGGCCGTTAGCCACCCTTTGCCCACGCCGTTTATGATCCATACGAACTATGAAGGAAGCGCACACAATAAGCGGATGCGGCTAAGGGACTGCGCTCTCTGGGACGTGGACCCTCCTTCCTATCTGTTTCCATTGGAGAAGGGTTTCTTGCGCTACGAACAGGTAATTCCAGAACAATTGCTGGAGGAATCCGCCAGCGATCCCGAGAAGAATCTCAGCTTGCGCAAGCTGCAGCTGGGGTGGCTGCGGAACGCTCTCGCGATCGCCTTCGTGCTGGACAGAATCCTCATCATGCCAACTCTATTCGGCGATTGGCCGTGGTCTTGGAGGTTCAAGAACATGGTGGGAAAATTGGCGGGGGATCGAGCTCGAAGCTGGACTGATACCGTGCTAAATTTGGAGGCAATGGAGCAAAATGGAGATGAAGAGTTGATTCGAGGGAGTGGTTTCTTGAGCAGTCGCTGGCTTGGCCGTGATATATGGCGATCTAGGCTGAACGTTGGGGTCCTGGAAGGAGAAGAATTGGCATCACTTTCTCTTCCTCTGACGCATTCCACTCGCAGACTGGGACACAGGAGGAGAAGCCGATATAGAAGGAGAAGCTTGGGCAATAGGTGGAGGCTTCGTTCCCTGAAGGAAGAGGTGGAGGGGGAGAAGGAAGGGAGGGTAATTGAAGGTGAGGAGGTGGACAATGATCATGAAGGGGATGATGATTATGTCAATAGCACAACAAGATCAAGGTTGTTCGAGGCAAAGCCGGAGGTCGCGGGGTCGAATCTCTATGGTGAGCAGTCTGATTTCTTAATGCACTGTGTCAATGGAAGTCTCTTTGCGTCGGACGTTGTGATGGAGCAGGCGACACGTATAAAGATTACACGCGGTATGACGGACGTCGATGTAGCATCTTGTTTTCGACCATTGGGTTATGTGAAACTACTAGAGTTCTCGACCATGGCTGATATGTTTGGAGGATTCGTATCTTTGGAGGAGAGGAATATTTTCGTCAGTAGATGGGGAAGATATGCGCAGACATTTCCAGATGATGAGGAAGGACTTTTCGGCTCGTTGGTTGGTTAGACATGGGAAGGTACGTGTTGCACACCCAACGCTCCACAAGAATTGTCCCATTATTTCGCAAGACGGGAATTCATACACTTTTTCGCGTTGAACGTGTGTTTGCTACGCCCATTGCAGAGGATGGCTAGGGAAAACTGGGTGAGTTTGGATATGATAAAGGGTTGATTGGGAAGATGACACGTGTACTATGCCATATACCCGATACTCCACTGTGTATCAGATTGCAAATGCGTGATATGACAAGACGTTCCCAGACGATGGGATGGGAAAACTCGGCGAGTTTCGGTGTGATAGGAGGTCGATTATGTCGATGATACCTGTTACTCTCGTGACACGCCACTTGTCGCACACTCAAAGCTCGTCACACACCCGATGCCCGACTGTATATTAGGTCGCAGGAGATGAAGGGCTTCCCGTGTATCGATGTGATGGTTGAGTGAATGCATTGTTGAACGGGGTATTAGGTCTTTCGGCGTTGACTGGGTTAGGACCGTATTTCTGTTGACGACAATTTAAGACGTGATTATCTGGGTCTTGGTGCGTGGTCGTCTTGAGTATTCTTACTCAACGGAGGTGTCCCTCGACCCTCCATCCGCTCGGTTCTTCCGACTTCCCGTGTAAACCGTGCACGGTGCACCGAGACGTCCCTAGACAATGACAAGACGGGAAATTGTTGCGGGACAGGTGTTTATTAGATAGGCGCCAACGGTCAGATAGGGGTTGATTAGGTCACGGAAGTGCTGAGACGCCTCTTGTCACAATCTATGAGTTCGCAAGATGATCAACGCTTTCACGCGCAAACTACATCGTCTGCAACGTCGTGTGTAAGCTTTCTATCCACCCATGGCACTGAATCTTCTCATCAATTTGGGCTTTACAAATTTACACTACTACAAGCAAGTTAACCAGTTTCCAAGAGATAGGGTGCCTCGGCGCACCACTCACCAAATGTCGAAAAGACAAAAGCATGGCTGGTGTAGCTTTCGACGTTGTAGTGGGAGATGCATTTTCGTTTTGCACGTTTGGTGAGTGGTGTGGTGAGGCCCAGGGTCTCTCTTCGACCCTCCAGAGAGTTACCAGACTGGAGAAACACTTACCCTCTAGCTTTGGGCTACCCGTAGAGGTGGCACCCTCATGAAGACCTGTAGTAGCATGTTCAAACCTAGCTCACGAAGTCCCGGTGCAATCAGGCTTGCACGGCGTCTGCTTCAACCGGGGCTGAGCAGGGGGTAGGCGTCTCTGCTTAGCCCCGGTACCTGCAACCGCTGTCTGGTCAGGTCACCCCGCCAAGATGGCAATGGGTGATGGTCCTGGGTGGTTAACACTAGGGTAGGACAGGGGATGGCAATGGGTGATGGTCCTGGGTGGTTAACACTAGGGTAGGACAGGGGAAGTGGGGGTGCGCCAGGGCAAAAGACGAGAGGAAGGGTGGGTGGGGTCTTCAGAGGGGTTCATCTGGACAACCAAGTGGCCGAGTACTCTGGGTGACTGCCATCCGTCTTGTATCCCACCTTTACAATACATTAAAAAAAAAAAAAAAAAAAAAAAAAAAAAAAGAGTTGGGAAAGTTGGTAGATACGGCCCACACGAAAACCTTTTTGGTTTTCTGCGCCCAAACTTTCCGGGTTTGGCAAGAAGGCCCACGGGCCACGAGCAATACAGGCCGTCTACCCGACTGCACGGCAACCGGTAGTGAAGCACTTGATACTCAGTTATAGACTGAAATACCACGCTAGATACTGAGTTTCACTCCGTTACAGACTGAAATACCACACCAGATGCTGAGTTTCACTCCGTTATAGACTGAAATACCACGCCAACGAACTCGAATGCAAGGTCAAGAGCACGTGGACACAGCACAACAGAAGCTTGATCCCCCATGTCCATTTTTTCTGGTGTTCAGAACATTGAGAAGAACTTCAGACGATATCCGACGGTGAAACTGGGTACTCTCGAGCAGCTGATGATATTCCTCAGCGCGCCCAGTGGGAGGCGGTGCGCTATCAAAAGAAAGAATGAATGTGAGCATCTTTGCGCCCACTATGAGTGGATGAAGGTGGTCCTGTCCCAGAGCCCAGGAATTCAGGTCCTGGAGGCGAAGTCTATGCTCTGAACGTCACAGTGATACCTCTCATGGCAAGACGCAAGATGAAAGACTGATCATGGGCCAAATAGACACATGTCAAGTTGTCAATTCTTCCCCGGACCGTGTAAGTCTCCAGAATATTGCGAGTCTTCTTCCTGCTGCTGGAAAGAAAGAGAGTCAGATTATCCAAATGCAGATTACTCTATGCAAAACGTCCAACGGAGCATGATGAGAGGTCTAAAGGAGGTTATCCAGGCAAACGGGAGAAACCTCTCATGAGAACAAGTGGGATGAAAGACAAATCCTGCGGAGAATACACACATGTCAACTCTTTCCGGGGCCGTGTAAGTCTCAAGAATACTGGGAGTCTGGTTCCTGTGACTGGAAAGAAACAGGGTAGGATTCTCCACACCATCACTCGTTGGAAAACGTCCAACTGCGCATGATGAGAGGCTTAAAGGAGGTTATCCAGGCAAATTGGAGAAGCCTATCATGACGACAAGTGGGATGAAAGACAAATCCTGGGGAGAAATAGACTTCAAGAATATTGGGAGTCTGGTTCCTGTGGATGGCAAGAAACAGAGTAGGATTCTCCAAATGCAGACTACCAGTAGTTCCAAAAGGTCCAACGGAACATGATGACATTTATAAAGAAGGTTATCTAGGCGGACTGGAGAAAGATCAGGCAAACCAAGTTCCCAAAGACTCCCCAGAGAAAAGGAAGGCCGAAAGGCTCCATGCAGAGACAATTGTAACTGTTGGGCTGTGTCAGATCAGAAGGGCAGACTCGTGTTCAGTCACCAACTGGATCCCAGGAAAGAATGTGCAATTGGAGGTTATCGAGGCAGACTGGAGAAAGGTGTCCTTAGATTTTCAGAAACAATTTCTCCTTGTACACTTATCCCATCAGAAGCACACGATTTTTCAGGAACAGTTTCTCCTTGTACAGTATCCTGTGTAGGCTGGACTTTCTGATTTTATGTTACTTTTCCTTTTTGTTTGTCTTTTTCCGAGATATTTGTAGACATTGTACAGAATATGATAGGTGTCTTCAGAATGGCCAACAGCAGTTAAGACTCTTAAGAGGGTTGTCTGTCCTCACCAGTGCATTAACTCAGTTGTTGTTGTTGTCTATTATCAGAATTTAGTTCGACTGGTCCGTTTGTGGCGCACCAACTGCTGTGCATGTGCGAGTTCCTGAGCCCCTTATTTTTTTTGTGCACTGCAGCGGGCCTTCATCTGCCCTGGCCTACAGCCAGGGCCTATTTGGCAATTTGCCCAGTTCGGCCTGTGGGACCAGGCCGTGGCCTGACCCCACAGGCCGTGTGCTGTTCTAGTCCTGCCCGGTACCACTGTCGGTACCAGGCCAGTCCAGTCCAGTCAGTCAGTCCGCTGGGGGTATACCCCAGCACTTGTCTGTTTTTCGTCATTCTTCACTTTKGCAGATCTTGGAGTACGTGCGTGTTGAGTCTGCGTCGGAGCTGCGCTGTCCCTTCCAGYTCYATCTYTRTCTCCTCCYTCGTCYACCCTTYGTCTCCATCCTGTCGGACCGCCATCCCGGCGGGTCCGGCACACTGGTATCAGAGCGGGAACGGTCCCCGCTCCAACACGCCCTTCCCCCCTCATGCAACAGTGGGTGCGGGATCGGTGTAATCCCGACAGCGGGATTTTCAGGTGTTTTTTCGGTGCGGCAGCGGAGAAAAAATGGGAAAAAGGCAACAGCGGGAAGAGAGTGACACGTGGTGGAAAAGGAGAGCGCCACCACACAAGGCCAGCCGCACGCACACCACGCGCCCACGCTGCCCCGCCCCGCCTCGCTCTGCACCACGCGCCCACGCTGCTCCGCCCCGCCCCGCTCCCAGATATATATTATCAAGATATCCGGGATGCTGCTGCTGCTGCCAAGGTTTGAACCTGGGCAGGCAACACTCATGCGCGTGCGTAGCCAGTGCTATAACACACTGGCCAAACTGTATGCATGGCTGTATAGTGCGGAACCTGTCTCTTATACACATCTAGATGTGGCGTAGCCAGTGCTATAACACACTGGCCAAACTGTATGCATGGCTGTATAGTGTGGAACGTTCGTGTTGAACAGTTCCACACCAACTATTTACCCCCCCCCCCCGCGCACGCCGTGGCTGTTGGTGCCTGCAGACGTGGCAATCTGCACTGCCACGTGGACACCTGTTGAAGACCCCCCTGGCTAGGGGGCTGTGCCACAGAGATATATATATTATTTTTTTTCTTTTTCATTATCTCTATACTGTTGCAGCAGCAGTTTGGCAACAGTTCAAGATTCCCCCCTGGCTAGGGGGCTGTGTGACTGTGGCAGTAGGGTGGTTGATCAAGATCTCAGCCAACCCTCCATCATCATCATTACTGCTGTGGCATCACACCAGCAACATCTTGAAGGCCAAGATCATGTGGATCTTGGTAGAACTTTGCTCTTGGCCACCCAAGAGCCTGGTATCACCACCCTGCCACTAACCCACTCTCCCCCAACCTCTTTTCTTTTT